ACGAGTAGGTACGACAAGTAGGTACGAGTAAGTATGAGAAGTAGGTACGGGCACAAATTTTTATTTGTTCCATTCTAACATTTCCTGTTTGTTCCGTCTATTTGCCTGATGATAGAATATTAACCCCAGCACTAAAATGTATCAAAACCTTACAATAACAATAAGGTAGTTATAGCAAAAAGGAAATCTTAATGTTTTCTATGGAATATTTTAATTTTTTAGCACAAACTGCTATAACATTAGATTTTTGGCTATAAGGAAAACTGTCATGACTATGAAAATTTTTATCTTATTAAGCAAAGATGCCTGTTGAAGCGTACAGATGGTACTTGGCGGTTTTGCTGCACTAGGATATGATTACGATTAGGACGTCATATGGCAAACTTGACCGATACCGAGGAGATTAATGTTCAAATGGTAGAATCTTCACACGTTGTCAAGGAGGCGGTTACTGTAGGACTTCAGAAGGCAGAAGAGCCCGTAGTCATGGAGGCGGTTACTGTAGAGACAGGCCTTCACATGGTAGAAAGTCCCGTTATCATGTAGGCAGTTACTATAGAGGCCTTCAGTTGGTAGAAAAGCCCGTTGCCAAGAAGGCGGTTACAGTGGAGGACTTCAGATGGTGGAAAAGCTCGTTGTCAAGAAGGCAGTTACTGTAAAGGTCTTTACATGATAGATATAGCCGTTAAGGAGAGGGTTACTTTAGAGGCTTTATTTGGCAGAAAAGCCCGTTGTCAAGGAGGCGGTAACAGGAGAAGACTTCTTATGGTAGAGACGCTCGTTGTCAAGGAGACGGTTACTGAAGAGACTTCATAGTGAAGAAAAGCCCGTTTTCACGGCAGCGGTTACTGTAGAGGACTTCAGATGGTAGAAAGTAATGTGTAGTTGAAGAGGAGAAAGTTCCAGTTTAATGTTAAACCTTTTAGATAGTGAAAGTTCTTGATGCCGAGGTTACGGTTAGGGCATTCGGTTTAAAAGTTTTCATCTATATAGATTATAGTTAGGGGCAAGTTTTCCGATGATGTTATTGGTAAGACACCTGGCGTCCCGTAGAGCAGCCAGAGAGAACTGAGTAACCACTACCTGTTGCTGCGAGGTCGCTGCTCTGCTGCTCCGTTCTTGACTTTTCGGCGTTGGCGGCGACGAGGTGCGGCGGCCACGGTTCCACCCACAGTGCCCACAGTACCAGACTTGATAACTGCTTGGTAGGCGATGTTCTGACACTTATTAATTTGCGAAGGATCCTCACTGCACATCTTTGGCTTGACAACAGCTTCAGAAACACTGGCATGAAGGTCGGCAGCCTTCGATGACACTTTCGTACGTCTCACTATAGGTTTACCGAGAATTCCTTGCTTGTCACCTACATCGGCAACACCGCATTTCTTGTCCGCTGTCTTCAGTGACCTTTTCGTACCTCTCACTGAAGATTGCGTACTCATCTCGGGCTTATTGCCCCGCCTCTGCTCTGGTGAACACGGAGGTCCAGAGTAACGGGTTCGTATTTGCGACAAGGTAGGTCGGGCAATATGGCGTTGATCAGGAGATACCACAAGATACTTCTCGGGATCATCAGCGGACTTTTTAAACTGCGCACCAACCTTCTGCAATTTCTCTTTTTCCGGTGAATTTTCAGTAGTTGGGAGCGGGTCATACTTTAAATAATGAGGGGTCCACTTAGGATTGAGTTGAAGCTCCTGTTTCAAATTGAAGCCCACGTATTTAAACGGTTTATCTCTATAGTTCAGCGCGTCGGACCCAATTTTCTTACACAAATCGGAATATTGCGAGTAAGGTAATCTCTCGTAACCAACATAATCGTCTGGACTGGTAGGGAACTTGCAAAGCTTGTTAAGCCTCCTAGGAGGGCGTTTAATTTCGATTGAATTGAGCTTAGTTTTCCTCTTACGTTCACCCTTGTCGCTGTCGCATGAATCACTAGCATAGTTATCATAGTAACTGTTTCTGCCACTGCCACGACGTACCAGAGGGGAAGGTTTACTGCTGCTGGAGGGTGCGGCAACCACAGGAGGCTTTGGACGTCGCTTGCCGCTTCCCATTGGACGCTGTGAAACATCCTGCTGGCGGTCTGAAAAAGTATTGCGTCTCGCGTCGGAAATGGGATTCTCATCACCTATCGGTGGCATTCTTCGAGAAGACGTTATGTTCTTGGGCTCTCCGGTAGGGAGAATACATTTTTCTTCTTTTTTGAAGCGAGGCGTTGGGTAGGCAATTGAAGTGGGCTCTCCCTCGCTGAAGGAAGGATCAGAAGCCTCCAGGACTTTACCCTGTGTCTTAAAACCATAGGTGGAAGGGTTACCATCGACCGCATTCACAGTACTTTCAGGTTTGGTAGCGACAACGTCGCAAGATGCTGTGGACGCATCTTTTTCGACTTCGTTCGTCACTACAAACTGAACCGGAATCTCCACATCGCCCTGTCTGGCTGTAACCACATCGGAGAAGCATTTCGGAGTGTAGCAAGAACTATAATGCTTCGAAGAGAAACAAACTGAGTTCTGAGCATGCATTTCCGTACACTGAAGGTTATTAGAACCTGGCAAATCTTCGAAAAATTCCCAATCCTGCACACGGTGAACGTCGGCAATTTTTACGAAAAGATGATTAGCGTCACTCTCGTCCTGAGAAGAAAAACTGTCTGAATTATTTCGCTCGTCTTCTTCACTGCAACTGGGGTTGGATTTCGAGCCAGGAGAACTACCAGATGAAATGGGACGAGATTTCAGAGCACTTCTTGAAAGATAAAAGCTTCCCAGTGAATCGCGGGACTCGTGACTAAAATAACTTGCACTATCCGAACTTATGCCAGCGGAAACTTCAGCTTGGTTTTCGTCGTGCTTTCCCGATGACAGGCAAAGGGAAGAAGGTCCAATGGAGCGATCAGTTTCAAAAACACTTCCGTTTTGACCCACAGGAGAACTCCGTATTCCACGCTCAGAATGAAACGCAGATTCCCGGGAAAAATCATCGCACGATTCGTAATTTTCATCAGAGGTGCTCGTGACTTCTTCTGGCGAATGCAAGTCGCTCGAAGACGAAAAAGGTTCTATGTCGTCAAAACATCGATTGTGCTCGTTCTCGGAACTCACTAGAGAACACGGCAGAGAGCACGAACCACTTTCACTCAAGTTGGAGTCCTCAGTGAGGTTGTAGCGGTTTCCATAAGATAAGAAGCGATCAAAATCAAGATTGAGATCGCTGACTTGCGCCTCTAAACCATAACTGTCGTTGTCGCTGTCACCGTCGGCAGATTCACGAGCGTCAAAGTCAGGTGGGTCTTGGGGGTAGCGGGCCACCACGTCGTCCAAGTCTGAAGCTTTAGCGCTAGTGCGAGACAAGCGATCATAGTTGACGATTTCGCTGCCAAAGTAACTGGTGGTAGAATCGCTACCTTTTGATATCGAGCGATTAAATCCAACGACGTTCTTTTCAGAATTAACGTAATTTTCGCAAGTGTTCCCTGTATTAGGCTCAAGAGAAACGTCGGGATTTTCTTTGTCCAAGAGAGCTTGCTGTTCAACTCGCACGCCAGTGGTCATACTTCGACCAGAACTAACATCTCGTACTTCATCCTCCACTCGGAAGATGAGACTCACACTCGAGGTGACATCACTATCCTCATTCTCCGAGAAAGACAAGTCGGCCTCGTACATATTTTGTCCGATGGCACGCCCATAGATAGTGGAATCAGACTCAGGGGTACCAGCATAGCTCTTAGACGATGACCTGCTAAAGAAACGTCCGCTGCCTCCACTGGAACTCTGCTCCTCCTCTTCGGCGCTGTCGACTTCTTCGAAAACCTCCATGAGGATGCTAGCGACGAAGCGCTGCTCGGGCGTTTGTTCTTCAGTAGGAAGGGACAAGAGCGACGCAGACAAGTTCAGAGTGCGGTGGCTCAGTGGCAAGTAGGACGAAGATGCAGATCTTGTTGGCATTCTCGCTTCCAGCGGCAAACTCGCGTTATCCTCAGAGCTCGTGGAAATTTCAGGATCACCCACAGGGAGGTAATCCTGAGGGCAAGTTTGTTCCGAGTGAAAATTGATACCGGAATCGAACTGTGCAGCTTTGAGAGTGGAGTAGTTGACCCGACGGCAAGCAGAACGAGAGCAGCTCATCAAGACGCAAGTCGGGTCATGGTAGTCGTAGGTATTCTCAGAAAAATCAGGATCATCTTCATCGCGAACAGAATTATTCGAATTACTCTTGCTTTCCGTATGGTCAGTTTTTGGTTTCTTGCTAAGCTTAGGCACAGGATGAGCATGTGCGAGTTCTTCGTCAGTCAGGAAATTATACTTCAATGTCCCCTCGTCCAACTTACTCATCTGAGCTGCGATCATCTTCAATTGCTGGCGTTTTTCCCGTCCAGCGATGAAATCTTCTTCGAATTCCAGCCTGAATATTGGATCGTCAAAAAATGAGTTGCGCCTCGAAGCCTCTCTGTCCTCCGCGGTCTCGTAATGAATACCGAACGGGGACGACTGAGTCAGGCTTTGTTGGAAGACGTCAGACCGACTGGAGCTTCGAGTTTCAGGAGCGGCGGCCGACCAGTGGCCGCCCCTACGCCGCCCAACCGCCTTCAGGACGAGGTCAGAGGCAAGAGGACGGTTGTGCTGCAGCAAATCATACTTATTGTACCCCTTAGACTTCTGCTGTACATGATGAGAACGTGCGGAGACAGCAGCCTCGTTAGCAGTTACACGCGGTATCTCTCCAGAATCTTGACCGTGCAATCCTTGTCTAAATTCAGAATATGAGGGCCGGCGGCCAGGAAGTGGTTGACCAACCACCATTCGATCCATGGCGGCCATCGGCCGTAGTAACTTGAAGGCTTCATGGCTGTACGGTAGATTTCGGCGGTCACTGACACGCGACAAATATTGAACGGGGGAGCGGGGCCGCAGAATTTCGCGATTTTCAAAACGTGGCTTGCCGTTGACTCCGTATCTGTGATACGGACAACTGTCTTGCTTAATTGTGTATTAAAGGGACCCTGTATCTGTGATACGGACAACTGTCTAGTTTAATTGTGTATTAAAGGGACCCTGTATCTGTGATACGGACAACTGTCTTGTTTAATTGTGTATTAAAGGGCCCTGTATCTGTGATACGGACAACTGTCTTGTTTAATTGTGTATTAAAGGGCCCTGTATCTGTGATACGGACAACTGTCTTGTTTAATTGTGTGTTAAAGGGACCCTGTATCTGTGATACGGACAACTGTCTTGTTTAATTGTGTATTAAAGGGACCTTGTATCTGTGATAC